GGGTGAGTACCTTTTCAGTTACTTACTGACCACACAGATGGTCTTATTAAACCGGGGTAGTGATCCCACCTTTATCATTAAAAACCGCAAGGAGGTCCTGGACCTCACGCTTGCCTCTCATGAGATACAGCGTAACATTGTATCCTGGAGGGTCCTGGAAGAGCACTCCTTCTCGGACCACAGGTACGTGGAAACTGTCTTCTCCTTCTCAGTGCCGAAGCCAGTCCGATTCCGGAACATCAGGCGGACAAACTGGACTCGGTATTCTGACTACCTCTGTCGTGTTCTCCCTGAGCCCCCATCTGAGGAGGAGTTCTCCACGGAGGCCACGACTCGTCTTCTTAAGATCTTTACCGACGCCTGCAATAAGGCGCTCGACAAAGCATGCCCCTCTGGCAAGAACAGAGGCCGGAAGAAACCTGAATGGTGGAATCCGAAACTGGGTGAACTCCGGAAAGCCTCCCGGAGACTCTTCAATAAAGCTAAGGCTGAAAACGTTGAGCAAAACTGGGCCGAGTACAAAGCCAGTCTGTCAACCTACAACAAAGAACTTAGAAAAGCCAAACGCGCCTCCTGGCGTAAGTTCTGCAGCGAAATCGAGAGTAACTCAGAAACCTCACGCTTGCGCAGAGTTCTCTCGAAGACAACACCAACCCTGGGCTACTTGAAGAACACCGACCAGTCGTGGACTACGTCCAGCGATGAGTCGCTAAATCTTCTCCTAAATACCCACTTCCCTGGCTGCGATGAAAACAGACCCAACTACCTCGCGCCTCCTTCTGTCGCCTCAAATGCCATCCTGAGACTGCTAAGCCAGGAGAACATTTCCTGGGCGATCAGAAGTTTTAAACCCTACAAGTCCGCGGGGCCAGACGGCATTTTCCCTGCCCAACTGATTCACGCGGGACACAAAGCCATTAGCTGGCTCAAAATAATCTACGAGGGAATCTTCTCCCACGGGTGCATTCCTGACACCTGGCTTCAGACCAAAGTCGTATTCATACCCAAGGCAGGCAAGCCCTCGCACACTGCCCCAAAAGATTTCAGACCCATAAGTCTATCGTCTTTTCTTCTAAAGGCGATGGAGCGGCTCCTGGGGCTGCATCTAACGGCGTGCATTCCGTCCAGTCTGATCTCAGACTCCCAGCATGCCTATCGGAAGGGAAGATCCACCGAAACGGCCCTACACTCGATCACATCGATCATCGAAGCGTCCCTTAATTTTAAGGAGTACACCCTAGTAGCCTTCCTCGACATAGAAGGCGCCTTTAACAACATCCTTCCGACCGCCATCACGGGCGCACTGACGGATCTGGGCGTTGACTCCAGGACGGTGAGCTTGATCGATCAGATGCTACAATGCAGGACGGTTGAGGCATCACTGGGGACGTCAACGTGTACCAGATTTGTCAGCAGAGGCACACCGCAGGGCGGAGTCCTCTCGCCCCTCCTATGGAACGTGGCAGTGAACACATTGCTGCGGGAGATAGAGGGGGGTGGCTGCCGCGTGGTGGCGTACGCGGACGACGTTGCCATAGCATTCTCCGGAAAATTTCCGCAGACGTTGTGTGAGTGCATGACAAGTACTCTCACGAAAATGTCGAAATGGGCAGACAAATGCGGGTTAGGCGTCAACCCGTCTAAAACGGAACTGGTGCTTTTCACTAGGAAGTACAAAGTTCCGGCACTGATTCCCCCAAGACTATGTGGGGAAACGCTAGTCTTCAGCAACAACGCCAAGTATCTTGGCCTTATCCTCGATAGAAAGCTCGATTGGAAATTGAGCATAGAGGATAGAGTAAAGAAGGCCAGAGTGGCCCTCTATACTTGCAGGAAAGCCATCGGACTAAAATGGGGAATGACCCCATATAATGTTCGGTGGCTCTACACCGCCATCATACGACCAATCATGCTCTATGGAGTGGTGGTATGGTGGCCAGCCTTGGACAAAAGGACAGGCCTCAATAAACTCAGCAGAGTTCAACGCATGGCAGAGCTATGCATAACCGGCGGGCTACGCACTACTCCAGGGGAAGCCCTGGATACTGTGCTGGACCTCCTCCCGGTTGATCTCATGGGAAAGAAGGTGGCAACACTTTCCGCCCTCCGAATGAGAGAAGCCAGACTGTGGAAAGCATCCGCGGTTGGGCACTCGGGAATCCTGATGAGACTCCTGCAATTACCAGAGAGGACAGATTACTGTATCCCCAGTGATCACCTCTCGACGCCCTTCCGGGTATCAATCCCATCTAGGGAGGACTGGGAGATGGGCGAACCAGGGCCTGCAAATGCGGTCCACTTCTACACTGATGGCTCAAAGCTAGACGGCCGCGTGGGAGGCGGAGTCTACTGCAGCGAGCTGAACATCAGTCATTGCTTCAGGCTCCCGGATCACTGTAGTGTGTTCCAAGCGGAGGTTGAAGCCATCAAGGAGGCCATTTCGATCGTCTCCAAACTACTCCTAGATACGCACTTAGTGTGCGTCTTCTCGGACAGCCAAGCAGCTATCAAAGCTCTAGGCTCAATATCGTCGAACTCAGCGACTGTAAATGACTGCCGCAGGTCTCTGCACGAGATCGCAGAGCAGTTAGATCTCTTCCTTATATGGGTCCCCGGCCACAGGGACATCGAGGGGAATGACGCCGCCGACGAGCTAGCCAGGCAGGGTACTACGATTCCTCTCCTATCGGAGAGGGAGCAAGTAGCGATGCCTTTGGCTACGTGCAGGCTCCTAACGCACGAATTGTTCGAGCAAAATGCCAATAGGAGATGGCAGCAAACCGTTTCCTGTAAAGTCTCAAGATTGATATGGCCACATCGATCGAAGAAGCGCTCAGCAGAGCTGTATAAACTCAGCAGAGCACAGTGCTCTGCAGTTACTAGAGCCATTACGGGACACTGGCAGATCGGCACTCACGCCTCTAGACTGTCAATCCCTCATAACGACTTCTGCAGGAGTTGTCGCGACGAGGAGGAGGAGGAATCGGTCCCCCACTTCTTCTGCCACTGCCCAGCCCTTGGAAATCGTCGTCTTCGTATTCTCGGGGCCGCTTTCCTCACGGACATTTCGGACCTATCCGTAATCAAACCAGGGACCTTGTCCAAATACATCCAAGCCACCGGATGGGACTGCCCTTAACCCGCAGTAGTATGCTCTCACGGTTCGGGCAACGCGAAGGGGCACATGCCCATGCGGCAACACAACGGACCTGTTTATAGGTCCAAGTGAGCTTGGGGGCGGGAGGCTCTTATCCCCCCCCCTCCCGGCTACCGCTTTAACCTAACCTAACCTAGATCATTCCTGTTATTTAAAAGACTATAATAAAATATGCATCATTCATATATATGTATATATAATTTCTTAAATAGATACATTTAATCGTAAACGGTTTATTAGCTATTGTAATGTCGTAGTACTTCATGTTTTAAGTTTTGTGCCAAGATTTTCTTAACCTATTAAAATACTGAACTTAAAAAATAAACTATAAAAACTTGTTATTCTTTTTTACATTAAATATGTTTTTAATTTGCATGGGGTAGTAGATTTCGATGTAGACTTTGCCGGTTACAGATAGGAACTAGTATTATTTAAAATCAACATTTTTGCCATATCTACCTTCAAATTTGCTTAAGCTTCTACAAATAAAGTAATACATTCGTCTTCATATTTGATATACGATGAATGTGTGCACGCACACATATTAAAACCACTATATGGTAATGTTATGTGGTAATTACTATTTTCAGGCAATTAAGTACATTAATATTGTTGAATCATCGGTAGCACTATATGTGGTTTACAACAATTTTCACGCTCAGCTGCATACACTCGTTGTAATTTAGGTTTTTTATTTAATAAATACCATCAGAAAGTGCCAATTATAATGGATTTGAATTGACTTAACTTAGTATTCGTTATAAAGTCATGAGAAAGATCTCTAACGATCTACACATTCTAACGAAAAACCTGACGTAAGCATTATATTGACAATGTTGTTTAACTAATTTTAAAAAATTTCACAAATCAATTATTTTATAATGAAGCTAATACAAAAAGATTCAAACTATCTTATTTATTTTAGGTATTTATTTAGAAACTTGAAGATAATTAACAAAAGGTTATTACCTTCAGTTTCCGTAGTATTGCACAAATAATAATTGAACGTTATGAAATATATATTAAATTTGTAAACTGACTTTGTGTAGAACAAAGGTGTATTAATTAAAATCAATAATGAACAACTAACTTTTTTTTTTTAAATGGTCATGGGAAAAAATGTGTACAATGTTATGAAATAGTTTTAATAACAATGTAATTTTTTAATATAGAAATTAGATAAAATGAAGAAAGTTAAAAAAAGATTTTATCTCTGCTATTGATTTGAGATATTTTTTAGTGACGTGAAGATAATTTACAAACGTTTTTACGTCTCAGACAAATAATAATTAAACGTTATGAAATATGTATAATAAATTGACTTTGTGTGTAAAAAAAATGTTTAATGGCACTTTAATACAGAAACAGAACGTGTACAAAATTTTAAAATGCATGAAAGTAATGGCTATATTTATCAATTTAGAGCCAAAAGCGCTTACGTTCGCTTTTTGAATTTGAATTTCTATTAGATTTATGATAATTTGATTCGATTTTGAGTTACACTTTCTAAATATTGTAAAATAAATAAATATGTAGAAGATTTTAAACTGCAACCAGTAGCGTTGAGTTGGAATATCTTCAGAAACAAAAGACTCAGCTCGTCATTTTAATAAATATAATATAAATAAACGTCGGAAATGCTTCCTTCTGTGAATTGCAAATATATAATATGATCCAATTTATATTACACTCTGAAAAAGGTATAAAAACGATCATTAATGATATCTTACTACAAACAATAGTTAACAAAGTTCACTGCCTTGATTAAAAACTCGTACTATACATTTTTAATTAGTTTGTATATTTTCAACACTAATATATTTTAAATGTTAAGTAAGTTTAAAAGAAAAATTGGCAATATTTTTTACTTGTCTGTAATTCAAATGCATAATTTTGATATTTTCTTGAGATCTATGCTGCATGTGTAATTTAAAGCAAGTGCCAATACAATGCAAATCAGGGCCAACTATATAGACGTATTCAGCTTATAACATCTATGGCAGTGTTGTTAATAAATCAGATAACAACAATTAGTAGTGCTTCTAATCCCTTAGATGGCAAAAATCTGTATATCGTCAAACAATTAGCTACATATCTTTGGAAGATACTTTAAAATTATGGGCGTGCTGTGAAAAGTTTTTATTTTCATTGATACCACTGGACTTATCCATTACGCAGGTGTTACTGAGATTAACAAAAGAGGACGAAGCTGTCATGTCCATATCTTCCGTAACAGAATCTGAAACCAAACCTATATCGGTTGCTGTTAAATTAGGTGTGGTTGAAGCTGAATATACGGAGAATACATCTAAGTTTATGACCGGTTCCAATTGCGTCAATGAGTTGGCAGAGCTGTTTAACGAGGCAGAAAAGCTAGATAAACCTGAAAAATATTACAGAATTAGTTTGCTTTCAATGTATTATTTACTTTAATATTACGTTCAGTTCCATTATTGTTCATGTGCGGCAAATACGATAATGATGACGGTGGATGTCTGGAAGTAACAACACTCCGAGCGACTGTACTGAGACCACTAACGCAACTGGAATCAGCTGAATGGGTTAACGACGACAAATGTGGCGATATAACAGTAGTATTTTTAAAACTATCCGCCAAAAGGTCGGCTGTTAAGAAAGCAGCAGCTGGCGCTGGTAACGATCCGTCCGAGCCGTTGAGACTTATGGTACTTTTAAATTCTTCTTCAGAAATTCCGCCATGGTTTACACGACCACTACAATTGCTGTTCTCTCTTTCCATTGTTAATGAGGCAGATATAGCAGAGCTTGCAGATGCAGTCGTTTCATTTGCAGAAGTTATATTTAGTCCTGAAAATATAAATAAAAACACGTCCAGACGAAAAATGGTCAAACAAATTTTAGTCAGCTAACTACCTACCTGTTACCGGTGATTGATCACCACTGACATTAGCTCCGTTTAAAACACCACAACCGCTTGAGCTACTTGGTGGTCTGGGAAGACGACGGCGAAGCCACGGATGTTTAAGAGCCTCCGATGGAGTTAAGCGTTTATCTGCATCCCATTCCAGACAACCACGAATAAAGTTGAGAAATAGCGGATCCTTGCATCCATCCAGTGCTTTAGAAAGGCTTTTTGAGCATGGGGGACCTCGTGGCTTTCCTCGGCGCGACTGGCCCCCAATTAACACAACCATTCCATCAGACATGGTGCGTACAGTGCAATAACGTGGATAACCTTTTGGGCTAAAGAACGTTTTGGATCGCTTTGAGGTGGCTAGTAACGTTTTATTGGGCATGCCGAGAACTTCAATAATACAGGCAAGTTGATCGCTTTCGTTTTCACCCGGAAACAGTGCGTGACCCGATAGTAGTTCTGCCAGAATGCAACCCAAGGACCACATGTCAATAGCTCTGCCATATTTTGCTCCCAAAATAACCTCAGGGGCACGGTAAAATCGTGATTGTATATATGTATATATGCGTTGATTTTCAAAGCATGACGAACCAAAGTCAATAACCTTTTAGAAATATAAAATTATAAATCGAGTTCTTGTAGATGTAGACGTAAATTATTGTGTTGGCATTGTTAAGTATTAATTCCTAACAGGTGAATTCATTTGTGAAAAAATTCGTACAGATAAAACCAGCTATTACGTTGGTAGTCGCGGCACACATACCGCAGAACTCTACTACCCCACCAGTTTGAATATACATATGTATGTAATCGTATGATTTATGTATCTTTTATAATATATTTCTGGACACCTATCCTCTTCCCACATAATGAAAAATATTCTGGCTGTTGCTATACCGCACCGTCCATGCAGATTGAAGATATCGAGCAAGAAAGTGGAGTCAGACAAGTGAAATCGTTTTCTTCATTCCTTAAGTATTGATCCGATCGTAACATGGTCCACTTTTGGAGGGAGTTGTGGCAGTGTGATATGACTGGATCCTGTACAAAAAACACTGGTATCTCCATGACTATATCGACTGCTAATCAATATATACATATACATATACATATTATAACAAATGGATATTAAATAGGTTGACTTGTATTGCAGTATATATTGGAAATAGATAGTCTTGACTCTGAGTTTTTTATAACAACATACAAATTCTTTTACAAATGAAGTGTCTCTGTTCAAGTAAAAACTAACTCTGTCTCCATTCTCAATCCGAAATACGAACTATAAAAACGTAACAATCAGCCAGGTTCCGTTTTTCACATTCACAAAAGTTTTCCAATTTACTTTTGAATACACATAAATTGGGTCTCTCGTTTTCACATTCCGCAAGATTTATTCGTTTTCAAAACGAAACGTCTTTTTATACAACGCCTTTTTACGCAAAAGGAAATAAATAGATGACTTATTGATTCATTAACATAAACTTGACACCTATATCAGGGTAATTTAACTTTTGCTTTCTTTATAAATAATTTTATTTTAACCTAACAACAACAACAACACCTTAAAACGAAACGTTTTGGCTGAAAACGTAATCCGCGAAAGTAAAAAACGGAGCCTACCTGATAATGATAAGTATGCATATCCATTGTTTTCAGTAGAAAAGGAGCGGAAAAAATAGTACAATACATTTTCTTGATAAAGGGTACACTGATGGTTTATATCGATAACTGTATGAAATGTACCATAGGCGTTCACCGGAACTTAAAAACATGATACCTGATACTGTACCACTGATAGTACGTTGCGAATTTAATGCGATTGGATCATTATCATCAGTGCCTTTTGAATTAACTCGATTTGAGGGTTTTCCACGTCTCCTTCTGACCGTCAAATCGGAGTGTATGTACAACACACTTTTTAAAGATACGAGAATACCGCTAGTGCATAAATATATTGACTTATAGTATGTACGTACGACTTCTTAATTGATTTAAAATATATTGTATACATATATATTCTTACCTTAATACCAGAACGACCTTGTTGTTTTAAAAGCACATTTTCTGGTTTCATATCACAATGTATAATCTCATTTTTGTATAGCGCATCCAAGCATTGGAGTAGCGAATGTGCAAATTTTCGCACAAGCTGTAGGCTGAAGCCCTTAAATCCATTTTTCTTAATCAATTCATAAAGGTTAATGCTGAGAAGCTCGAATGTGATGCAAGTGTGATTTCGAAATGTAAAGTAGTCAAACATGTGTATGATATTCATAGTATTATATTTATCGTGACGACGTAAATGATGAAGAATTCGAATTTCCTCTTGTGCTTGCCGATGAAACCGCTTCTCATTGCGCACTATTTTTAATGCTACATGCTCGTGAGTCTTATGATCATAGGCCTTTATCACCTGGCCGAAGCTTCCCTTGCCAATTATCTTGAGCATTTCGTATCGATACGCTACGTGATCGTGGGGTATATGAATATAAGCCCCTTGTTCATTATCATAATCAGAATTGTTTGGTCCGTACACTCCTGGGCGTTTTTTTGCATTGGCACCAATGAAATAAATCTGTGGATACGCTAGTATTTCAGTACGCTCATATGGAGTTAATTTATGCATGTACAATATCATAACTTGTTGCGGGGAAACAACCAGTACTTTTGGTTTTTCTTGCAATGCGCTCTTTTGTTGGCCAGACATGATGATCTGCTCATGAAAGGTGAAAGCGTCGTTTTCTACAACTGGTTGAGATTTTTCCTTCAATAGGTCGAGGGAATCTGATTCCGATTGTAATTTATAAGTGGATGGAATAGCACCCCTGCAAGAAGGCAAATCTTTTGAAATAAAGCTGGAAATGAAATCGGTTTTTGACGAGACTGTTGTAACAGGCAGAGAGATTGCTGAAATATATTATTAAATATATTTTTTACCCGTTCGATAATAAATAAGCTCATATATAGTCACCTTGAATGGTTCCGGAATTTTCGCATCCATCTGAAATTAAACTACGTTGTACATTTTTGCCATCTCCAGAATGGTTTTCGAGCTTCTCTGTGGGTTGCAATTCTTTTTTATTATCATGAAACATTCCCGGTGATCCATAGCTACTACTAAAATATTGCACCATGTTTCCGTGACAAGAGTGATGGCTTAAATTATGTGAATTGGTATGAGTGATGCCAGCCTGGGTGGAATTTTTATTGATCATCTTGATTTTGGTCTGAGGTGTAGATATTGATATTGCAGGTGAAGATGCTTTACCGATTTTCGCTACAACGGGCGCTGCTTTTACGTCGCTTTTCCCGGGAAAAGTATTATCATCACGGATTGCATTTGTTCCAGATAATTGAATATGATTACTTTTTTGTTGTGTTCCAACCATAGTTACGAATATATTTTTATTTAAATAATTTTTATCAGATTTTCCGTTATTATTTTTCAGCCTGTATGTGTTATGATTTTTAGTGGACTAAGTCCCACAGAAGATATTTGAATACAGAAATGGAACGACTTTTTCGGTCCTACTGTGTGGAAGATGGATACACAGTTAAAGTTTCAAATTTTTCGTTGTTTGCTATTTTTACTATTTAATAGTGCTGACATTAAATTTTCATATTTCGGGGCTTAGCTTCCAGCATACAAAGAAATTGTCTCTCTTAAGACATTGACAGGAAAATGTAAAAAAAAACTATACCTTGTTGCGATGTTAAAGATATGGTATTTAACGGATTTGCTTCATTCAATATTGACATTAGTAGTTTCTTACTGCTGTATGCTCCAGAACTGTTTTAGTGGTATTAGCCACGAAATAGTTTTGAAGTAAGGGGTTACATCTATACCATTTTACTGCATTCAAATTGTTTGTTTTACAGCAACAAGCCATTTTTGATGGAATTGGAACGAGTTCAACATTTTTTGCGGAACGTGTTGTTTGATAAATCAATATTCATTTCTTCATCTGCATTACATATAGCAAATATATAAATTCTTACTTTGAGATCAAATGGGCAAAGGTGACGTTTCTTGAAAAATTTGAGGAACGGCAATTGGGGATTATCTTGGGTTAGGTTCGAAGTCGACGTACCCTTCGCATCTGAACTTTTTGCTGAATATATTGATTGAAATAAAAGGATTTTTCAAAAATTTGATTACTTTGTTAAAGTGGTAGGAGATATATAAAACTTCTGGAGAGTCCCTATTTTAACCACAGGAGACAGTTTTCTATGTCGGACCTTAAGATAGTGACTCGTTTATAAGATTTTCATGGTAATGCAGTATTAAAGAGCATTTGACATCTTTAAGATGTGATTGCTTTCTTATGTTGTTGTTTGTTGACGTCTCGGTTAACAATTTTCATTAGAAAGGTTTTTGGAACCTTATCTATTGCAGCTCTAACTTTTTTTACTGAAAGTCTTCTCTGTGGCGTCTAATCATTCTCATTCAGCATCTAAATTTACAAAAAATTCTTCAGCCAGTTGATCGTGTCTTAAACTATGCCGGGAATGAAGTTAGATCCAGACTCCATATATATATTTACTGAGTGTGCACTAAAATAGGAGAAAACTAAATATAATTATTCAGTTTAGCCTAAAATTAGTATTCTTTTTCTTATTACTTGAAACATATGTAAGTATAAGTATTCATACCTACAAAGAAACCAATCATTTTATGTATCCATCATGAGTGGTCCCAAATGCAAAAAAGTCTGCAAAGTATTGAGTCCTGTCTTGGCTTCGCAGTCCCGAAGAATATAGTTACAGCTTGGATATATCACCCAATGCATGTACATTCCGAATATTTTAAATACATTCCATTCCATACACGTACATATAGACAAACAAGTGACATTTGCAAAAAAAAAACACGGGATAACAAGCGCTATTGAATTAAAGAGTTTGCGATGCTTATTTGGCAAATTTAGTAGTAATATTGTTTTAATTAATATAATTAATTAATATCGTTTCTTTCGAGTTACGTTTGTATACATAATTTTCAGCCAAAAATACGTAAAGATTGCTGGATTCGATTAATTTAGTGAAGACACAAAAAAAATATTTCATAGAGGGCACCGGCAACAATGCTGTTGTGCAGTACAGTACTGTCAAATATCGTCCCATCGATTAGATCGATATTTTTTTGTTTCGTCAATTTAGTAAAGTAGATAAAGTAGCAAAATAAAACAGAACTGAGAAGACTCATGTGAACTGGGAGTATCTAAAAATCAATTTTAAATTTCATATTGTTTGTAATATATGTGAATGGCAGGAGAGTTGAAAATTTAATAACGATGAGGTTATGAAATCAGAATCATTATGGGTAAGTGTTTTCATTGTTCAAGGTTAGTGTTTCTTGGTTATGCAAATTTAACTACATCTTTTAATTAATATTTCAGAGTATTATCATATACATACTTAAGACACAAAAACTGTTGGGCTACGCAGCCGAATATTAAACAATAATCCATAGATTATAGCCCGTGGTGCGTCAGTAAAGATGGCGTCTTTTATTGTTTGTTGTTTGCAATGCCCAAACAGTGTACCACATTGTAATCTACATATCTATATGAATCCGCACGGCAGCAGCCTATGCAGCCGTTTTCTCGCGTATTTCTTTCTTTATTTCGTCTTCTCTACTGGCCCTTCTTGAATCGAGCTAATCATTGAACAGAATTGTCGTGCTCTCGTCGCAAACCGAACTCAAACCTTTCTCTATCCCTTTCACTCTGTATCACAGTATATATGTATATTTACCATCCTCCACAATAAATCGTATTAAATCGAACAATCATCGACTTTTATTAAATAGATCGCAAGCATACGCAGCTAAAAAATCTAAGTAGCTCAACAAAAAAAAATTCTCAATTTTATTTAAAAATATATTACTTCAAAACTTTACTATTTTATACAAATTTAAATTATATAATTAAAATATATCACCACAATATTGATTTATCTTAACAATGAGAAATATAAATCTGTTTCAAGAACACCTTATATTTCTAATTTAGTGTAAAATGAAGGTATCGATATTTTTCCATGGAACTTTACTATGTGCCGTTGTAACACAAAATATAAAAAAATTTCTCCGTTCAAATAATATACCTTGCAAAAAGAACGTCTTCGTTTTTTTAAATTTGATATGTACGGTGATTGAATATACTAAATGCGAACTTGTTTAATATTTAAATCTTTTGTTAATATTTGACTGAAATATATATATCTACAATCATAATTCATGAAGTGAAAATTACATGTTGACACTAGCATATCGTGAAGGGTGTGTGCCTTACCACCATATTCGCCCTTGCTATTAATCGTTAAATACTTACAAACAATGTATACATAATGTACTTGAACTAACATAATTTTTTAGCACGTGAACCCCAATCAGTGAATAGCGTTCAGATGTAAGATTTTAAAAATATCGAACCATTTCTGAATTGAAAATTGTTTGACAGGTCGCGTCTAAGGGTGACCCAACATATCCATATATTAACGTGTATATATGTGTGTTATATACAACAAATCATATGATTTGTACCGTTGTTTTATTTTGTTACTAAAAATATAAAATACTAATATGGGTTTTGGAAAAACAAAAGCATACTTTCATTAATGAATATAAATAAAAATGCTGCATAGAGACACAGGATAAAATAAGAACATGTGTAAACAAAATATGACTCATGTGCTAATTAGTCCCGGTACTCTTTTTCCAACACTCATGAATATATGTACATATGTATATAACATATAAATTTTTTCTCAAACATCGAGTTGATAAAGCCATACAGCAGATAGAGTCTGTCACATATGCACATTAATTTTATATTAAACTAAAAGAGTATGTTTGAAGTCCACGACTGCCGAATCGAAGATAAAACGGGAAAACCGTGAACAAAAAAAATTTGTCTACATGATTATCAAGAATCCGTATTATCGGATTGGTTTATTTTTGTATACATTCAATAAAAAATGAAAAAACCATATTAAAGGAGCGGGAACTTTGTGAGTCGCGGCAAGCGCCTTTCTAAACATACTATGTTCGATGCTGATCAAGAACATATATACATTATGGGGTCGGAAACGCTTCCTTCTGGGTGTTTCACACATCCACTTCCACCTGTCGTAATTTCTGTGAAGATGTCTTCATACATACACATACATGCACATACCATTTTTGAAATATTGTTCACAAACTTTGGCTTACTAAAACCGTGAAAGTACAAATTTGATGGTACGTGAATACCGCTAATGTAGAATAAGAAATTATGACGCCAATCGCACCTGAAAAAAATATTAGGGACTCTATGCACCTTCGATAATAACCTAATAATCTTATGCCGATCCAAATAACAGTTAAATATATTTTTTGTAAACTAAATTACAGGTTTGAGTACAACGCCTGACTCAACGGCTTCCTTTCGTATCTATCATGATTGATCCTAGTTCTAGTGAGGAAGAGGGCGAAGAAGATCCCATAGTAAATGTGTCAACTAAAAGCCGTCTTGCAGTACCGCCTAAGTCTGCGGGAGGCATTACTGTAGCAAGTGGTACTTCAAGTCCCGCGGTTGGATCTAACATTCCCGTATCTGGATCTAACGGTGATTTTGATGGAAACCATAGGGCATCTAATGCCATTGCTGTTGTAAATCGAACTGATGTTGGAAATGTTGGTGTCGGGGGGGCAATGGTCCCAGGCCCATCAAAAAATGACCAAGTACATGGTAATCGCGCCGAAGGGGGTAACCTTGAGGTTCCAAACAACGGCATTCCCAGGTTCGTATGCATTTTGCTAACACAAATTTGTGTCTATAAATTAAGCTGGGGTACCAAAGAAAACTCTTGACTTTTTGACTCTGCAGGTGATACAGGATCTTGGGAAATTTCATTTTTCGGACACTTTTTTCGGAGTTCAAATGTTTATTTAATTTTTTATACCCGGTACTCACCGGATATGAATGACAATTCTAGTAGAGATTTGACTAGAGCTTTTTAAATTATGCTGAACAAGATAAATCAGAAATTCTTACCATATTTTGGTACGCTGAACGTGAATCCAAGGTCAGATTTGATTCATCACGTCAGGTTTTTTTTTTCTGACTTCAGATTCGCTTGTCCAGCTCACCAAAATACATGGGAGTATGGTACTCTGGTCAGACGCGCATGGAACTTTTGTTTTTGTGGGGCTGTGTAATCTTTCCAAACTGTTACACTTTATATGACCAAACCAACCGAGAGTTCCCGCTTTGCCTTCTAGAATTCCAACTCAATTGGATATCGGTTGGAATAGACCTCTGTGGCACCCCCGATCTTGAAGAATTGATTAGCCTTAAATAAGCTAATATGGCTAATATGGCGGGACAGAAATGGAATGAACATGTTTCTTAACGGTCATGCCTGGTTTCGCTAGAGAAAAATGTATCTTGTCTGAATACTAGGACTCATTTTACTTTTTTGGCATAACTTGAATATGTCAACCTAGCTTTTTATCAAATTGATAGCTAGATTGATACAAATTTTCAAGATACAGATAACGTCGGGCTTTCTAAAACAAAAACAGTTCTTTTAATTCTTTAACTTTACAATTACGATACAAAATACAGCTTAAACGTATCAATTAGGCATTGATAGATGCCATCAAAAGGCATACAATTTTGCGAATTGACATGAACATGACTGATGACTGCACTTAAACGTCTGCGTAAAAAAATTTTCATGAACTAAATCGAGTGAATGGTGTAATGGAACAAAATTGGCTTTAAATATAAACGTATGTATGGTTATGAAATAATATTGCGTGAAAAAACAATCCATGAACATACCATTCCATTGCCAATGTATATTTAAAATGTGAATGACAGTCAGTTTGTTAGCTCATTTGGTGAATGTAAATCCAGTTACAAGCAGCACATCTCTGGAAAAAATAGAATAATAATACAGCAGTTAAGCTCGTCAGGTCATCTGCAAAGACAACAAGCAACATTATCTCCTTATCACAGTCACCATCATCAGCAGAAACAAATAAACAATCCACATAAAAAGTTCACTATTGAAGAGCCATACCTGCACACAAGCTTCTCCGATCAGAAAAGTTTGGCTGCTAGGGGTGTGACTGATGTATCCTATATAACTGGGAATATGACTCAGTCACAGTACAGTAACAGCATTACCCGTGTTTGGTCATCAGTGGATGCTCAATTCCAGGAGGTAATACAAAGTAATAATCATTTGTTGCTATCATCATCTAGTGGTGTTTCGCAAGAAACATTAAATCAGAGCATCGGATCGTCGAGGGCCAACTCACTGCCACGACCTGTGTCACCATCACCATCTGTTAACAGCGATAAGCCTGAAACAGGAGACCCACATGTAAGTGTACATTAAAGTACATTTAAGTAAAAAAACTTCCTCTAAAATATTTTTTTTTTTTTTACACCTGTAAAGATTATTTTAATTTGTATCGCAAAAGGAGCTCCATAAGTCGCAATCTGAAATTTCATGCATTTTAGACTACTCCAGCATGAGGTTTTCCCAAATGTTATCCGATTTCTTTAATTTTTATGTTTTGTTGTCGCTTTATCCATTTCAAACAAATTTTATACTAATTTGTTTTTACACCATAGTCATATCCTTAGAAACAAATTATTTTTAAAACCACACGTTTGTAATGCTTTTTCGGTCAGTTTTACCCAACGGAAACAAAAATTAAATTAAATGTCGTTACTTTTCACATCCAAAACTAAATTTTTGCCGATAAGTTAAAGTTATTTTATTTCCATCATTAATTAAGAATTAACCACTTTTTTGTTAGGATAAACATGAACGCGAGGAGGAAGAACGCAAACGCCGAATTCAGCTGTACGTATTTATATCACGATGTATTTCGTATCCGTTTAATGCTAAACAGCCTACGGATATGACAAAACGGCAACCAAAAATTACGAAACAACAATTAGAGATAATTACCCAACGATTCCAGGTAATGAATGAATTTGTATATACAATTTAGTTTATGATACGGTATACGGTAGTTCGGTATGATACGTTTTACCTGTAAGTTATGTTTGTAGGGAGCAGATCGATGTTTCCACGACGAGATTGATGGTCCAGTGACTCCTAGTAGCCGTCGCAAGAAAAGAAAGGCCGATGGGTTTCGTGGTATATATATATATATATATATATATATGTAGGTGTGTGTATTTGTATTGGGTCGACCAGTTGAAACGGAGGTGAAATCTTAACTAAACTCTAAGCCTTATGTTCTATGCTTTATGCTGCGGTGAGCGCCGTGTGGATCGTGGATTGTGGATCGTGTAGATCTTCCGAGCGCCCCTCCGAGCGCGCGAGAGCGAGTTGGGACCGGAGCGCACGGAGTTGGCACAGTGCGCGGCAATCATTTGCTGCTGGCGTGAACAGTTTCTCTTCGCTTGTGTTATGTGTTTCGGGTTTTCGGGTGAGCCCGACACACGATCGTGTCTCACAATAACAACTTAGAGAGACACTTTGGTCAAGCGCTCACAGCAAAAGTGTCTTTAGATGAGCAGACCCAAAAAAGTGTCTGAGTAAAGAGTTTTAGTTTTTTTTCGTGTATATGTTTATTTATTCATGTTTTCCGCATCTTTTGGGCTATTGTATTGTAATATGTATATTTCTTTGCAAAATTGGCAAACGAACATTTTCGTTTTGCTTTTCACGATTCATTTTAAGCTCCAATAGTCAAACCGTATAGAATTCACAAAAATTGATAGTTGCCATAAGCATCACACGTACAAGCACGCATACATATGCTAAAGACACTTTGTTCGTTTGCTCGCGGCAAGATGCTCAGTGAAGAACAGGAACAATAGAGAAGTGAAAAAATCGGTCTTTGCTTGAGCGAAGAGCGAGTTGAGCAAAAACCGATTTGATCGGGTCTTTTTAGTCCATTTTCTCAATGTGTCCGTCAATGAGATGTTTTTATCAGACACGCCGAAAGTGTCAACAGTTATTTGCGAGCTATGGTTTTAAGCCATCGCTATCTAGAGTTGCAGCACCTGTAAGACCCAGAAAATTGTTACTACGATTACCAAGGTAATCTCGTTAATCTGAGCCAATAGCATGCAATATAAATGTGGCGTCAAAACTCAAAGAAAATGTTATGAAAAATATTAAATTGAATAATGAAATATGAAATCATTATTCGTTTCATCTGGGAAGCGAAAACATCTAAAATCTAAAATCTTATAATCGAAAGCACATAAAATTTCAAGAAAATCGGTGAAGCCATTTCGGAGAAGTTCAATTACAAACATTGTAACCCGAGAATTTAATATATTTGAGCAATGCCAATCAGACGCAGAGGGGCCAATGTGAGTCATCAAACGATCATGTCTAGAACCATGCGAGATATAAATATACGAATTTCTGGTGAACAAATCCAAGAAAACAGTGCAGATGAGCGTATGCGCATGGCGCAGTTACTTTAGACAAGTTCGACGTACGCTTAAAATGGCGATGGGAAAGTTGCTGTTTATGAAAATACTGGATGCATAAAATTACAGACGGACTCTTCACAATATTTCACATATTTCCCGATATACACACACAATAGGAAAATCATAACTGGCTGGCAGAAATAGCGATTTTAGACAAAATATGTGGACGTCAATGGGTTTAATTTAAAAATACAACAGTTGTTGCCTGGGGACTTGGTGTCATAGAAATCTATTGATGCAGTTGGTGATACCAACGAAACTGTGAATTATCCAATTGAGTTTTTAAATTCATTAGATTTGCCAGGCATGCCTCCACACGATTTACAATTGAAGGTTGGATCTCTGATCATTCTGCTTCGTAACTTGAACTCACCACGGCTGTGTAATGGCACACGGTTAGTTATTATAAAACTAATGAGAAAGGTTATTGAAGCCATCATTTTTATTGAAAAGTTTCAAGGCGAAAATGTGTTGCTGCCACAAATCCCTATGATTAATACAGATGTGTCAATTGAATTCAAACGCAATCCATTCCCAATTAGATTGGCATTCACTATTACGATCAATAAGTCACAAGGCCATGCATTGTCTGTATGTGGCTTAGATTTGGAAACACCATGCTTTTCCCACGGACAACTATATGTGTCGCCATTCATCCAGTTTGTTTGTGCTGGCTAAAGACAGACTAACCAGAATATTGTACACTCTATTGCGCTGAGAGCTTAATCTGTATTGTTAAGTAGTCTTATAATTGTCATGTCAAATAATATACATAGCAAAACAACGTTTGGCGGGTCACCTAGTTATACCGGATACTCAAAATGAGTATAGGGGTATATTAGATTTGTGGTGAAAATGGATGTGTGTAACGTCCAGAAGGATTTAGTACGTAAGCATTCTGCTTCAAACCAATAAAAGTTTAAAAAATATTGCATTTTAGTTAAAAATGCCAAATGGTAAAGAATTTTCTGAGGAAGAACAGAGAAGGATCAAGAGAATGAAATTAGCCGGCATAAAAACTGGTCGAATAGCTTCGTTAATGTATCGATATCGAAATACTATTTCAAAATGTTTCATAGATCCAGACGGTTACCGCATAAATCGTCGACTTGGCCCAGTATCGACCATAATAAAATTGACAAAATGGCACTTGCGGCAGTTTGTAACTGAAGACTAAATGATTTGCAACAAAATCAAGGCAGAACTCGGGCTATCAATCCCCAGCCAACGTGTGAGCCAAATTTTGAACGAAAATTTTCACCTCACATATCAAAAGAAAGTGGGCAAACTCCGCTTAAGTAACCGTCATAATGATGCGCGCATGTACTTTTTGAAAAACAAGTTCTGGGTTCACGCATTAGAAAATTTAATTTTTAGTGATGAAAAAAAAATATAATAAATATATTGGAGAGACCCGCGTCATCCACGGGCAACTTGCTACAAGCCAAACCATGGTGATGGATCGCTTATGATATGGGCTGCCCTTAGTGCTAAAGGGAAGTCTCCAATATGTTTAATATCTGGCCCAATGCTCAAGCATACTATATAGAATTGATAGATAGTGAACCTTTTTCATTTGCTGAGCATTTCCATGGTGATCAATAGACATTTCAACAGGATAATTCGCCAATTCAAGTTTCCCGGGCCTCAATGGGCTATTTTGAGACCCACAATGAGTCAATGAGTCCGCACCTAAATCCAATTGAGGATCTGTGGAGCTTCTTTGCAGCAAAAGTCTACTCCTGTACAAGGCAGTACGAAACCTTAAAGGAATTAAAACAAGCGATCGTTGCAGAATGGAACAGGATAGAGTTATTAACTCTACAAAACTTGGCAGGCTCAATGCCCAGTAGGCTGAATAAACTTCAGGATCACAAGTTCAACCGCATTAATTATTAAGAGAGTTCATTTTCCCAAAAACTTGTCCTTAGGAAATTTTTTTTTCCAATCAAAATATATTTTGCTGTTATAGCCATTTTCTATCTGAAACATATAAAACTATTTTTTTTTGTTATTACGAAAATTGATATTTACTTTTTTTATGCCAAACCAAATAAAAATATAAACTAAATTTAGTATCCACACACCACACTGGGATATCGGACCTGCACAAGTTTATCTTAAAATTTCGCCCTATACAGGACGAAAATCTGTTGCATCCACAAATCTCAGAGACTATTAATGCTAGAGTAACCAAATTTGGTATCCACACTCATGTTAGATCTCTATATAACAGGTGTATTTCAAAATGTTCTGTCTGGCTATAATAATGATCCGATTCAGATTCAGATTCTGCAGTCTGGAAGATAGAATTCTGCGTTTTTGGGATTCTAATATTTTTAAAGTTGTCAGTGCCACAGATTTTCGTCCTTTGTGGGGGCGGCAGAGCGCGTGGCAAAATTTTTAAACAAACTTGATTCAGTTTGATATCACAGGATTCTGGGTACAAAATTTCGTTGCTGTAGCTCTCAGAACTATGCGTCAAAAAAGACGGTCAGAGGGACTTACGGACAGACAGACATGACTCCATCGACTCGGCTACTAATCAAGAACATATATACTTTTTGGGGTCGGAAACGCTTCCTTCTGGGCGTTACACACATCCATTTTCACAAAAATCTATAATACCCCTATATTAATTTTGAGTATCGGGTATATAAAAGCAAAGACTATACAATACCAAAATGTTGCATGAGGAACAAATTCTTTTTCAATTTTCGTTTGACGCTTCATGGTACGGGCGCGCGGGGCTATTACTTCAATTCTCTTTTACGCTACCTTCGCCTCCGAAATGCTACTCGGCTTCGTCAATGCCTCGGTTAGCGTCGAGTCGGTGTGTCTCGAGAGAAAGAATACAAAAACAAAATATGAATCGTCTGCGTGCCGAAACCGTAGGGTAACATGGTCGCTGATGTCTTTGGCGCGGCACAGTGGGGACTCAGCCGAAATAGTCAAAAAATTGTATGAGTGCTTTAGATAAATTTAATGTAGGCATCTAATAGAGAATTTTCCAATCGAATTTTCAAGATAGTTTTAGTTTAGGAGATATAAGCACTCAAAGTTTAACATTTTTCAGTATGCAAATATTAATTGAACTCATATTCACTAACTAATTTAGCAAGCTGAGACGGCCACAGGTCCCACTGTGCCGCTCCAAAGACCTCGGCGATCCGCGACCACCGCTTCGACGGTGCTGAGGCTCGAGAGTCCAGAATTGCTGAACAGACGAAACCGATGGGCAGCGGGGTCGCGGTAGAGACGAAGTACAGGCGAAAAGGGAATTGAAACCCCGCGCGCTCCCTCGTGCCTTTTGGGTTCTAATGTTAGGACCCGCCATAGAACAGCTTTTTGGTCGCTCATGCAACATCTTGGTATTTTATAGTCTTTGATAAAAGCTAAACCTAGAAAAAAAAAATTATTAAACAATTTTAAAGCCGTAAATATATAATAAAATGTCGGTTTGGTTTGTAGGAATGTTTTCCTTTACTATTTTGTTCTATAAGAAAGATAATTCTTGATAACATCTTTTCCTCAAAGTTTCTCTTAAAATCCAACAACTACGTTGTCAAGGAAATATGAAATGGCCTATTTTTTGTATTTGTATTTTTGAATTTTTTTTTTATTTTAAAATTAGGATTGTACTTTATTTATACATTCCAACATGCCCTAAACCATCAGGCTCCATGCTTTATTGTTTCCTTGACTTGATGCTTTTTTAGCTTTCCATTTGAGCGGTGCCAGAAGTATTCACATTGTTCTCATTGAAAACGGCTTATTTTGGTATCATCTGACCAAATTATCTTCTTACAATCTCCGTGGTCCAGTTTCTGTGCTCCTGGCTAAATTTAAGACGCGCAGCAACTTTTTGACAGATAGTGCAGGTTTTTTCTGGTTAACTGCCACTGTAAGGCCGATCGTGTGCAGAGTTTCCACTCATGGAACGTTGTCCAATTGCTTAAAATCGATGGAGTAATGAAGAAAGAATATTATCTTCATATTTTGGAAGCCAATTTATCAAATTTTATAGACAAATGTGTCAACCCCATATCTGAGATCACTTTCTAGCAAGACGGTAACCCGAAGCACACGACTAAATTCATGAAAAATCGTCCCAATAATTCGAGTTTTCACTTAATCCAGTGCCCTGCTCAATAGCCCAGATGTAAATCCCATTGAACATCGATGGGCTCTGCATAACAAACATTGGAAAAGTACAAGTCTGCACCAAAGGGAATGGATACTAAATTTCGTCGAGAGTATGCCAAAATTTATTCGGAATGTGATAAAATCTAATCTGCAAAAGTAGATACATGGACTTTCGAAAAATTTGTAATCTCTCACTAAATCTATGAAAAAAAAATCACAAGTATTGATATATTTTTAAAGATTTTACAGGCGTTTAAACTGAAAAGTGATGAACATGTATCCACTATGACTGCTTAAGAATATTCTGTTCCGTTTCGGAGATTTTTCTATTTTACTAGATTAAGCCAAAATCGACTTATATTTCGCGTACGTTCGCGACCACATGTTTATTGCTATCATTATGAAAACTAAAACTCGATGAAAGCCATCTTTTGTACTAAACATGGAGTTAACAGATTGCTATTGAATTGAATAAAAAGACTTGGTAAAAATTTGTTTTTTTTTTTGTTTTCTTTCTTTTTTGTAAATTAAAAGCGTTTGAAGGTACGTTCGGGACACGCGGAAATGCCCATATATATATCTTTCAGGGCGGATGAATATTACATAAATACAAACTAGTGAGAAATAAATTATACGTAAAAATACAATAAGATTCTTACAAAAATGTATACATAAACTATTATTAGTACAGATTTATTTAAACAAAATATTAAATGAATAATATTTATCTGGAAATATATGATTTTCTTAAATCTTCCAGTCATTTCTTAAGGGAGAAACACAAATAATGGCGGACGAGGCATTTCAAAATGCTGTACAGAGTTACCATGATGTGTTTTTAAAGTCGGAGCGTGTTCTAAAAATGGTTCAATCCGGAGCATCTTCGCAGCACGATTTTCGAGAAGTATTCCGCAATAATATTGAGAAACGTGTGAGGTATAAAAAAATGATTTTGCTTTAGCAGTCTCAAATGTTCAATTTTCATGTTTCATTTTTCCCACAATGAAAATATTACACACAAAGAATAATTTTTTTAACTTAAACGATATTAAAGTTAAAATTATACTAATGTTTCCATTTTAAGATCTTTACCAGAGATAGATGGGCTGAGTAAAGAAACGGTTTTAACTTCTTGGATGGCAAAATTTGACATTATATTAAAGGGCAGTGGCGAAGAGGATTCAAAAAGACCGTCACGCATGCAGCAGTCCCTAAACAGCGAGTTAATTCTTTCTAAGGAGCAATTGTACGACATGTTTCAGCAAATATTGTCTGTAAAAAAATTTGAGCATCAAATTCTGTTTAACGCCTTGATGGTATGTTGTAATTCACTTTTAAATGAAATACTAAAAAATGTGTACACCCAATTTAGTTGGATTCGGCAGATGAACAAGCAGCAGCAATACGTCGGGAATTGGATGGACGAATGCAACGGGTTGGAGAAATGGAAAAAAATCGTAAACTTATGCCCAAATTTGTTCTCAAAGAAATGGAGTCTCTTTATATTGAGGAGTTAAAGTCATCTATAAATTTATTAATGGCAAATCTTGAGTCACTTCCAGTATCGAAAGGTAATATGGACAGTAAATATGGACTACAAAAGTTAAAACGCTATAACCATAGGTGAATATATTACAAATAAAATTATTCGATTATAATATTATAGTAATTTTTATATTTGTCTCTTGCTCTTTAAATTATTTTCTTACAGTACACCGTCATTTTTGTAAGTTTTCCACTACAAATATTTATTAAGTAATATAACATATTTATTATATATATAATTAATAATATAATATATATATTAAGTAATACTTGTAAGGTATATTACATATATTACCCTAATATTTAAAGCTGAAGTAATGCTTTATTTTATTAACCTTTTAATATAGTGATAAAATTTTAAGTCAAGAATCAGAATGCGGTCAATTGAAGTCATTATTGATCGACTTGAATTGGAAATCATTTCGTGAAAACCTTTTTATAAACGGTACTCGATGAGTATAGGGGTATATAATATATAAGATTTGTAAGGAAAATGGATGTCTGTAACATACAGAAGAAAGCGTTTTCAACCCCATTAAGTATATATATTTTTGATCAGCATTAATAGTCGAGCGATGTAACCATGTCTGTGTGTCTAGAACAACCAAGAACAACCAAATCATATGGAATGGCCATATCTGCCAGATCATCATTATAGCCAGAAGGAACAAATGAAATTTTAGTGGCTACGATGGCGTAGCTATCAGATAAAATCTAATATAGATATCATTAAAGCGTTAAACAAGAATGATATGAAATGGCTATATCGATTCGGTTAATAGTGCTGATCAAGATTCTATATATTCAATTAATTTTTTAAATTTATTTATTCGCCATTCGCTAATTCTAAATAAGAAATAAAACTAAAAACATTTAATTTATTATACTAAATATATAAATATATACTAAATAACAGTTATACCTAGAATTAAATTTCGTGCTTAGATTTTTCGCAAGTATTTTGTTGTATTTGTATCTTAAATATTTGTATTTTTCCATATTTCATTATAAAAAAAAAATAAGGAAACTGATATTGCGCTCCCATGGCTCTCTATCTAAACTGGAGGGCGACTCAGAAGATGGTTCTACACAATTAACAAAGTTAGACGTTGTACTTACCTTTCAACTAGAAGTCATTGTAATGGAAGTTAAGGGTCTTAAATCGCTTGCTCCTAATCGTATTGTTTATTGCACGATGGAAGTTGAGAATGGCGAAAAGCTTCAAACGGACCAAGCAGAGGCATCAAAACCAATGTGAGAAAATGGCAATTGTGTTATTTGAATTAATCTAATTTTATTGCAAATAGGTGGGACACTCAAGGCGATTTTACTACTACACATCCATTACCTGTTGTCAAAGTGAAGCTTTATACAGAAAACCCTGGAATGTTGGCGTTAGAGGATAAAGAATTGGGGAAAGTAACCCTGAGACCTACTCCACTGTCATCCAAAGTGAGCCCTGTATAATTATGCATTAAAAACACCGTGCGACACAACTATATAATGTACTTTCAACGACACAAAAATTGTCTTTTTTAAAAATTAAAAAAAAACCGTGATTTTGTGACCGCGTGCTTTCATAATTTTTATTTGGAATCTGCAGCCGGATATCCACAAAAATTAATTGAAACAAATAGTTCAATCTTTCACAGAATTTTTGATTCGTGTCGATAGAGTGGATATACATACATACATAACCATGTACTTGAATTTTTCTACCATTTCTAAGGTTTCTTCAATTTTGCAATCTAAAAATGTTATCTTTTATTGTATAGTCCTGTTTTTAAACTTTAGTTTTTCAGTGACTACTAATCATTATATTTGTTCAAAGAAAGGTACGAAATAGTTAGGAAATATTTAGTATGTTTTTTTTTAATTATTATCTTTTTTGTGTCGATTATCCGCGCTGCAGATGCCGACAAAAAATGATGAATCGCGGTTTTTAAATTTAAAAATGACTGTTGGGGGTATATTGCAAAATCCAAATATCCGAAATGGAGTTACTAATCAGGGTCTACAACCTAATTTTAGTCTCATTTAAAGTACAAAATAAATGTTGCTGAGTGTAGTATCGTGAATAAAAAAATTTTATTTTTAGTCACCAGAATGGCACCGTATGATTATACCAAAGAATTTGCCAGATCAAGATATACGTATTAAAATAGCATGCAGACTCGATAAACCATTAAATATGAAACATTGTGGGTATGTAAGACTTATTTGGAATGATTAATGCTTAGATTTTAAATATATTTTTATGTTCAGGCATCTTTATGCAATTGGCAAATCTGTTTGGAAAAAGTGGAAGCGACGCTATTTTGTGTTAGTTCAAGTTTCCCAGTACACATTTGCAATGTGTAGTTACAAAGAGAAAAAATCAGAGCCGTCTGAGATGATGCAGCTTGATGGATATACGGTAGATTACATCGAGGCAGCTAGCGGTATATTTAAACTAAAACCTAAAAACGTACATGAAAATAAGATTTTCCCTTATTTTTAAATAGCTAATCTTATGTTCGGCATCGATTTAAATGGTGGTCGTTATTTCTTTAATGCTGTTCGCGAGGGTGATAGCATATCATTTGCTTGCGATGATGAGAACGAGTGTAGCCTGTGGGTTATGGCAATGTACAGGGCCACCGGCCAATCTCATAAACCTACGCCACCGATCACTCAGGATAAAAATTCAGCTATGTCGAAAATACAAGGTGGTATGTATTAAAACTATGAAAAGCACGGTGTACTCGTATTACATAGATATGAAATAGAGTTGTATAAATGGATTAATACGTCAAAAACGTTTAGAATTTATTTGTTACCCAGGATCCTTGCTAACATCTAATTTTTTTCTTTGTTTCTTTTGTTTCGAAAAACCCAAAAAAAAAAAAAAGACGCGATGTGAATTGGTTTGAGTATATTTTTTGACTGAATTCATATACATGGGCGAGCACGTGTGGATACTAGTGTTGTGTTGCTCATGAGTGAGTGAACAAAAAAGAGTTGTTCACTTAATTGAGCAACTGAACATGTTCCTTCCAAGTTGTTCTTTTTTTGCTCACTTGTTCTTTGTTGTTCACTTGTTCATTTTTACTCACTTGTTCTCTACTCACTTTTTGCGCAATTTTACTCCTCAAAGGGCATTTTGCGATCTGACAGCTTTGCTCATATTTGCGTTTACTTCACACTTTTTTTCACACTATTACCGGCAAAGCTGTTTACTCTTTTGAAAAATTCACTATGTCGCTAATTCGAAAGTATAGTGAAATTTGGAACCATCTGTGCATGAATAGTGAACAACTGAGAGAGCAAGTCAGCAACTGAGCAAGTGAGTAACTGAGCAACTGAGCAACTGAGCAAGTGAAAAAGTGAGTTAACTGAGCAATCTAAGAGAGCAAGTGAGCAATATGAGTGAGTTGACTCACTAAAAAAGAACAAGTGAATATGTTCACCAAAATGAGCAATGTTTACCCAACACTAGTGGATACATGCTCATCACTTTTCAGTTTAAACGCCTGTAAACTCTATAAAAATACATAAATTCTCTATTTTATTTATTTTTTTTTAAGATTCTTTAATTTGTTGAGAAAGAACACATTTTTTCAAAAGTCCATGTATCTATTTTTGCACTTTTCATATATTTGTACTTTAATAATTTAAAAAAAAAAAAATTTTCCAAAGAGCCTTTGATTTTATCACATTTCGAATAAATTTTGTCATACTGTCGACTAAATTTAGTATCCATTCCCTTTGGTTTAGACTTGTACTTTTGCAATGTTTTTTATGCAGAGCCCATCGATGTTCAATGGGGGGTTGACACATTTGTCTATAAAATTTGATAAATTGGCTTCCAAAATATGAAGATAATATTCTTCCTTCATTATTCCATCGATTTTAAGCAATTGGACAACGTTCCATGAGTGGACACTCTGCACACGATCGGCCTTACAGTGGCAGTTAACCAGAAAAAACCTGCACTGTGTGACAAAAAGTTTCTGCACGTCTTAAAATTAGCCAGGAGCAAAGAAAGTGGAGCAAGGAGATTGTAAGATAATTTGGTCAGATGATACCAAAATAAGCCGTTTTCAATGAGAACAATGTGAATACTACTGGCACTGCTGAAATGGAAAGCTGAAAAAACCATCAGGTCAAGGAAACCATAAAGCATGGAGGGTGGAAGAGTGATGGTGTAGGGCTGCTACACTTTGTGGAATGTACCCCAATTGGTTAAAATCGAAGAAAGAATATGATCTTCATATTTTGGGACTCGCGGTAGCGAGTACAACAAGAGAGAGAGAGAGAGAGAGAGAGAGCTAAAAAGTATCGGCTAGTTTTTTCTTACTTGTTTAAGTACATTTTGCCGAGTACCCATACAAAAAAAATACAGTTTATTACTTCTTTTGTTTTTTTTTTACCATTTAGATGCAGATAAAGCACGAAAGCATGGCATGGAGGATTATATAAGTGCTGATCCTTGTACATATGACCATGCTACGCTTTTTAAAACTTTACAAAACTTAACGCTTGAATATCGGCTTAACGATCCGTACGCATCTCTGGTGAGTACATTATTTAACTTATATATTTAAAAAAAAATTACCAATTATCTGTGCAGGGATGGTTTAGTCCTGGTCAAGTTTTTGTTTTAGATGAATATTGCGCACGCTATGGAGTACGCGGATGCTATAGACACTTATGTTATCTTTCTGACCTATTGGATCGGGCTGAAAAACAGCACATGATAGACCCGACGCTTATTCACTATTCATTTGCATTTTGCGCTAGTCATGTCCACGGAAATAGGTAATATTGTGTCGTTGCTTATAATTAAATACAATTTTATACAATTTTATAGACCTGATGGAGTGGGAAGCATTACTCACGAAGAGAAAGAGAAGTTTGCCGAGATCAAAGAACGCCTACGTCAGTTACTCGAGTTTCAAATAACCAATTTTAGATATTGCTTTCCTTTTGGTCGTCCCGAAGGTGCATTAAAAGCAACATTATCCCTATTAGAGAGAGTATTGATGAAAGATATAGTCACCCCGGTTCCACCTGAAGAGGTTCGACAAATGATTAAAAAAAGCTTAGAGACAGCTGCTCTTGTAAATTACACACGACTCTCTAATAAAGCAAAAATTGAAGGTGTGTATATGGATATAGATGCATGTAAATATGTGTTTATAAAACATTTTACCCTCAGATGATTTGCGTGGAGAAATTATTGTACCGCCACCAAAAAAACTAGAAGACTTAATTCACCTAGCCGAACTTTGCGTTGATTTGCTACAACAAAACGAAGAACATTATGGAGAAGTAAGTTGTCTTTTTTTCAAGTCAATACATCGCTTTGCTTTGTTTCACTTTTGTCTTCAGTTTTTTATCCAATGATAAGTATAAAAACGCATCCACGTCTATATTTTTACATAAATATACACATAAATGAATAATTTTATTCAGTGATTCTTTATGAATCACTAGCAAGCGAGTCATTAAACTTCTTTGTGTGTAACGCCTGTTTCATTCTAAAAGTTGCTGAATTTTAAAAACGTTGTGTGATTAACTATGGTTCAAAATTATGAATATGTATATGTTTCATGCCTGTTCCTGTTTTCACGTATTTCCATCGATTTCAATTCAAGATTATTATTTTTTGTTAAGGTGTTGTTTGTTAGTTGGGTGTTATGGTAACAACCAACAGTGAATAGAACCGAAAAAGATTTTTAAAAAACAACTAGGACAAGCATTTCAGTCAAAGAAGAGATATTAGGTAGGAACGGGAGGTTAATATACATATGTCCGAATATTTCACCTTGAATGGGTTAAAGGGAAAACGAAACAAGGGCCACGTTTTTAAAAATCCCAAAACCTCGCCAATATCATGTGATGATTGAAAATGCAATTATTGCATAGTAAGTATATATATTTATTTTTAGTCGAAGTAACATAAACTCTTAAATGAGAGGAAACATAAATGTACATTTTGGGAATATCTGAAAATTATCATAGAATAGGGCATAAGTAATGCAATTTTAGTTTTGAAATTTTCTTTATATACTTGTTTTTTAACGGTAGTATAAGTATTTTGTTTTTCGAGGATTTTTTCTTTAGCGTAGTTATAGTGTGTATAGTGTAGTGTTCTCTTTAAATAAAACGCGGAAAATTAAAGAAAATAGTTTTGCACGTACTCGAGATTTCCGGTTGAGAATCTGAAAATCAGTAAATGAGTTCCGCCATAAAAGCCATATTCAAAGGTGAAAACTGGAACTGGGCTGTAAAACATTCAATTCAATCAAAAAAAGTGTAAATTCCGATTGTTAAAGAGTGTTATCTGTTAACTTTTATATATAATTGCAATTCAATTCAATTATTTAATATTTTTTTTTTATCAATGGGTGTCTATTATAAATAAACATTACTCTAAAACCTTGGTTTGTGTATTTTCGGTTTTAAACATGTGTGTATCAGGTGTATTATACGATTGCTACTTGTCTTAATAATATGTATGTACTGTATGCTTTATTTTCTGTATATAAATATCCGAATACTAATGAATGATTAATATATATATTTACAAAAATTGTCGTATATTGCCAATAGTCTTTTATTTTGTATGTAAGTGTGTTTTGCTGTAACCGATTTGAAGTCTTTTCGCATACCTGGAAAAAGTATCATTAATCTTTTAGAGCAATATACATACATATAAACAACCAATTTTAAATTTTAACTATGTTAAATTAACAGATGTTATCTTAATATTTTGAATTTGAACGAAACAGAATAACTACAAAATTAAACCATTCTTTAAAATGTACAAGATTCTGCAGGGCATAAGTTTATTGATTTTTTTTATTCTGAATTACAGTAGTCAACAAAATTGAACTTTTTTTCCCTGTGAAGCAAATTGACTTTTTATGATAGATTTAGGCCCTACAAATGTTTAATAATTTAGTTTTTTTCTGTATGTATTTTTTTTTTAAATTATTTTAAATCTGTTTTTTTTGCTGTTTTTTCAGAAGTAGTGTTTTTTAAAAGTTATGTGAAAGTATCTTTCATCTGGTTGTATTGAATTCTGAAAATTAGATAAATGCAGTTAATAATTCTACCCGAACATCAAATTCATTTCTTGGGTTGTTGTATTTTTGTGGTATAGGTACGTTTTTAAGGTATTAAGGTATTAAGGTTACTCGAAATACGACCTTTTTTTTCCTTACAAAAAATACCACGATGTAACAGTTTTTAACGCTAAAATAGTATTTGGAAAGGAGCTTAACAAAATTTAACGACAAAATGCGACATTTGAAAGAGTGGTTAAATGGCTGCAACTTAACCGTTTAACGACGCCCAATTACATCAACATGTAACATTTCGAAAAAATGTTGAAAAAATATACCGAAAAAATACCATTTTTAAATTTGAAAGCTCACTTCTTTAGACGTCAAGCTTCAGCTATAAAGTGTTCGTGTAGGATTTTAGCTGAATTTCTCTTTTCTTTTTTTAATTGCAAAGTTTAATGCAACACAACCAATTGTAAGATATTAAGTTACATATGTGAAACAACGCATTACTCTGAGAAAAACAGTAAAAAAAATAACAGATTTACAAAAAAAAAAATACACCTGAAAAAAAATAAAAACATTATTAAACAGTTTGAAGGTCCTAAATCTATCATATAAAGTCGGTTTTTTTTACAGCGGAAATATGGTGTTCCATAGCTTTATCGGAGTTTCAAAAAATGATAACAGGAGTTCAATCCATATTATAATGTCTAAGATTACACTCTTTTTTATGCCGGTTTTCTTCGGTAAATCAATCGTTAATTTTATTTGTTTTTCTAAATGAAAAACGAAACAACTAATCCGCTTTTATATAGAACAATGTATTCAAATATATATATATATATATATACATATGTGTTTATATGTTATATAAATAAAGCTTTGTGAAAGGATTGACTTTTTATTATACCTACAACTATTTAACACCATATGCCCGATTTATTTAGCTGCGCAGACATGATAAAGTGGAAAAAATTAAAACGCGTAAGGAAGATGGCGATGTTTCAGGAGAACACAATATCAGCGAACTTGGTTCCGCCGCCAGTCATGGAATCATTGGCAAAACTGAACAGGCAATAGCTGCAGGGACTTCCACTGATGGATCATCATTTCGTTACTGTATGCCAACACACGCGGTCTACACATCGCCAGTACCAACGGCACGTACAAACCAGTTAAAAATACGTTTTAGGGATAGGGATTAAATCAACGTGATATTATACAATATAAGTATATTATATACACATTCATACATACATACACGCGTATACCCATGAGCTCGCAATATTATCTGCAGAGCATTGGACTGTAAACATAAGCGACTTTTTCTGTAGTGTCGCATCAGCTCAAAGTTTTCAATAATAATAATTTTCTTAAAATTCTTTTGTGCTTATAAATCTATAAATCATTATATTTATTGTTCTTTAATGAAACTGACTAATGAACATGCATGCATTATATTTCATTTGCATTTTGAAATAAACCTGAATGTTTTTTTTTTATTTTAGATGTTGTATAAAGTTTAGGGAATGCTTAAAATGTTTTTTGTTGCCGATGATAAAAAGTTTATGTTTATGTGTGTCCATAAATGTACTAGTTAATTGTATTAATATACCTCAGTGATCGGCACGCACACATTCTCATGTTTTTCAGTAGACAGCAGTAAAAAAGCGAAACATTGTAATTTTGCCAACCCCTGTTATACACGTGTACGTGAGCGGCAGCGCACTTTCCTATGCACGTAAGATAGGGCCGTGCCGAAACCTGATATACATATATAAATGTACATAAATATTCTCTCTCCATGTCCGTTGAAAGTTCATCTCAATCTCAATCTGCTCGTTATAATACAAAAAATTGCTAATTCTTGTCTGACTTTTTTTCGCGCTATTTACGTATTTTATTTAAACATTATACATACACATATATTATACATTCATTATGCTTTGTGCTTTAATTTAGTTAGTCGCCAAATATAATCTTGTATTATCTTGTATTTGCATATTAGTTTTCTTTATTTTTGAATTTGTACACAGATATATATTACACAAAATATTAAATGTGCGATAGCTAACATACTTACATACGTACTGTTTTGAATCAGAGTTATGTAATAACAATTGGAAATCAGGTGTATTAATTTAAATTATGCTTTTAAAATTTAATTTAGGCAAAGAATTACACTATTCAACAAAATTTTACTTTTTTTCCGCTGTGAATCAAATCTACTGTTTTTGATAGATTTTGAGCTTTAAAAATGTTTCATATATTTATTTAGTTTTTTTTTTCAAAAGGTTGTGCTTCTTATTTTACATAATTTTAGTATCTTAAATCTGGTTTCATTGAAATTTGCAATTATGAAATGAACGGAACTTAGCTGTCTAATGCGGCATTCAGAGGTTTGGTCAAACCTGCGCCTTTTATACATCGATTTTTACAAACGATACCTTAAACGACGTATATCTAATGTACCTATACTAGAAAAATGAAACACAAAGGGTTTCCAAAGTCAACATTTAAAAAAAAATATATAGGACCAAATTCTCAAGTTTGAATTTGAAAGCTCAATATTTTTCAGGCGATAAGATTAACCTACAAAAAGTTCAGGTAGCACTTATATGTAGTTTCATTTACCAGCTATTTCAGAACACCAAAGTTCAATAAAACCAGATTTAAGATACTTAAGTTGTGGGAAAAAACAACCACAACCGCTGAAAAAAACCAATAAAAAAATACAGGATTTAAAAGATTCGTTGAAAAAATTAAACCATAAAAAAACAGATACTCAAATAGTATATGATTATATTAGACTCGTGGTGACAGTGAATACCCAGAAGAAAGCGTTTCCGACCCAACAAAGTATATATATTCTTGATCAGCATCAATAGTTGAGTCAATGGTTATGTGTCCGTCCTATATGACTATATGACTATAGGAGCTAGAGCAAGCAGATTTGGTGTGATATCCCACTGAATCAAGTTTGTTTTAAAATTTTGGCACTCCTTCCGACCCACAAAAGAACAAAAATATGTGGCGTCCACAATTTTGATGTTACGAAAAACCCGTAAACATTATTATAGTCAGAAGGAAACACGAAATTTAAAGAGCTATGCATTTCACGCACTTACTTATTTCCTCTCTCACACTTTACTGGCTGAGAATTGGGTATAAATTAAGAGTAATGGCGCTAGCCTCGGCTCACAACGTTCCGGCTCCTTTTTAAATAACAATAATATTTCCGTTTTAGCCAAATATACCTGCATTGATTTTTTTAAATTCGGCTAGACGGATTAAAACTTTTTTTATTTTCAATAAAGTGATCACTGTTTGAATATGGTTATTTTCATGCTTAAATTTATAAGTTCTATTAACTGAATAAAATGCAATTGTTTTTATTGAACATTTCTTTATTAGCTTCAAATTTAGGAGCTACGACTTATATACCATGAATCATGTAGTTTTCGTACGCAACTTCAGTGTTTGTTTGCCATAAAAATTTTAAAAAGATATACAAATTTTGCTTTGACATATGTTCTATATATTAATAACATTAATAAAATTTCCATTCTTTAGGCATTTGCTTGGTTTAGCGACCTGCTGGTCGAACATGCGGAAATATTTTGGTCTCTTTTCGCAGTTGACATGGACCGAGTTTTATCCGAGCAAGCTCCTGATACATGGGATTCGTTTCCTTTATTTCAAATTCTTAATGATTATTTAAGGGCAGATGGTAAGTACTACATTATTTTAAGTTTTCAAATCTAACACAAACTATCTAAAAAAAAATCGATTTGGGTTTGCTTTGTTATTTATTTATTAAATTAACAATTATCTGTTAATAATGGTACTTAATTAGTTAGTTAGTTAGTTCAATTTAAGTGATTATAAATATTGCATGCAATTAGTCTAAGGGACAGTTCAGGGGATAAGGAATGACAGAGGGAGTTATAACTATGGCAACCCTAAAAGGTTCATGTTCGGCATAATTTGACCTACATATGGGTAAACGGATTGGCCTAAAAGTACGGGTAGGTCTAGATGAGACGGCCAAGTCAATCTGACCCAACAGAGTTTGGGAGTCAACAATCCCGAGAAGGAGCTTGTGCACGAACATTACGCCATTGCATATTCTGCGATGGTGCAACGACGGCAGGTAAATAAGATTTAGCCTAGACCGGTAGGGTGGCAAGATTCTACCGAAATTCGAATTCGAAATTCGCTCGAGGACATGATTTCCTAGAACATATGAGACAAAATGTTGAGCGCCACGGTAAAATCTCATAAGTTTGCATTTAGAAAGGCTCAGAAAAAGAAGATTAGTTGAACACCACAAATGTAGCTCACTAAGATCAAGTTGAAGGCGTGTGTGCAAATACCAATCAGAGTAAGGCAGACAGATTTTAACATCATCAGCATACATTAGTGTAGTAGAGTATGTTATAAATTGAGGAAGGTCATTCACAAATAAAATAAACAGAAGCGGACCCAGATGTGGCACATCTGAAGTAACATTAACAATATTTGACAAGACATTAGAAAACAAAACACGTTGAGTACGGTTAGAGAGATAGGACAAAATCCAATCTAGAAGATTCGTTGGGAACTCTAATAAAGAGAGCTTGTGAATAATCAGAGCATGCTTTACAGAATCGAATGCCTTGCTGAAGTCCGTAAAAACTACATCTATATGCAAACCACTTTGAAAACCACGGTGGATTAGGTTAGAAAACTCAAGAGAACGGATATATCAAGCTGCAACAAAGATGTTGCAGTTGCCGGGTGATCAGGAACTCAAGAAGCTTCGGGATGGCAGAAAGCTTGGCCATACCACGATAGTTTTCAATATTTGACTGTGCACAGTGTTTTAAAATGCAACTTGGTACCTTATCTGGACCCGCAGAAAACGATATGTCCATAGATGACAAACCTTCCAGAACAACGCTTTCCTCGAAAATAGGCAGAAAAATGCTGTTAGCGTGAGATAGCTGGTACGGATACGGAGTGGATGAGTTGTAAATATGAGTTCGTTTGGAAAAAGGTAGCGAATAAATTTGCAATACTAACAGCAGAAGCTTCTGTTTTATTCTGGTAATGAAGGGACGGAGGAAAAGCGATTGACTTACGCTTAGAGTTAACGAACGAATAGAATTTTTTAGGATCACTACGAAAGTTTCTACTCTATTGTGAAAGGTAATGATTACAACACTGACTATTAACGGCAAGCAACAGAGAGCGAGCGGATGAGTATAGAGCTAAGGCCGACGTGGAGCCCGACTTCTGGTACTTTTTATAGAGCCTGGATTTATTATTTTTTAAGTATGACAAATACTTGGAGAACAGGTACAGTGATATCTGGAACAAGTGTATTAAGGGCTGAGTAAATAGAGCTATAAAGTTAACAGTTGCATTTATGTTCGGTAATGAATAAAGAAACGACCAATCAACACGCGAGAGATGTAGATAGCCACGAAAGAAATGGGAGGTTAATGTCACCCCTGACAATAATTTGATTATTCCAACCTGAGTATAGCCGTAAAGGAGGATTACACGGACGCGCTGTTACGTCGTCCTTGTGATTCTGAATGTAGACATTGTTCACGGTGTGAAGTAAAGGAAAACATAATTGATATTAGAACTTACAGGAGTATCTTAGGAAGTCCGTCGAAGTAAATCAGCTTATTTCAATTTTTTAAATGGCATATCGCTCCGGGAAGTATGACACGCTGGCAGCTGCAATATGGGGGAACGATTTAAGACTTCCCGCTGATTTCAAATTCGGCGTGACCCTAACGTTTAATGAATAAAAAATGGTTATAGAATTGGCCAGTTGAACGAGTTTCGCCAGTTAATAAGACGCCTCATCCAATCTAATGACGCGAAAGACTGGCACCCTACCATGGAGGAGACAAGGAACATGCTCGCGACGAACAAGTTTAAGTGGACGGCAGTGTTACGAATGGGCAGATCAAGCAGTTGGTTCAGAGTTGTTAAAAACAAAAAATATTTATATTCTCAATCCGGAAAGTACGAACTGTAGAGACGTAGGCAGATTTTTGTGTACGGTCGTCAAAACGATTTTGGAATTAATAATCTGGTCACTAAAACAACGAATTGCGATCTACTACGAAGTTTACAGCATGGTTAGTTTTTATATAGTTTTAATTAGTTTTCGATATGGTTAGGTTAGGTTAAGGCGGTAGCCGGGGGAGGAGGAATAAAACCTCCGCCCCTTCGAGCTCACTTGGACCTATAGGAGGTCCATTGTATTGCCGCATAGGCGTGTGCGCCTTCACGTTGCCTGAACCGTGGGAGCAGACTACTACAGGTTAAGGGCAATCTCATCGGGAGGCTTGAATGAATTTGAACAAGATCCCTGGTTTGAATTCGGACAGGTCCGAAATATGTGTGAGGAAAGCGGCCCCGAGAATCCGAAGACGACGATTTCCAAAGGCCGGGGAATGGCAGAATGAGTGCGGGACTGATTCCTCCTTTTCCTCGTCGCGACAACTCATGCAGATGTCATTATGAGGAATTGACAGTCGAGAGGCATAAGTGGCGATCTTCCAGTGTCCCGTGATGGCTCGAGTAACTGCAGAGCACTGTGCTCTGCTGAGTCTATACAGCTCTACTGAGCGCTTCTTAAAGGAAACGGTTGGCTGCCATCTCTTGTTTGCATTTTGCTCGAACAATTCGTGCGTGAGAAGCCTGAACGTAGCCAAAGGCATCGCTACTTGCTCCCTCTCCGAGAGGAATCGTAGTACCCTGCCTGACTAGCTCGTCGGTGGCCATATAAGGAAAGGATTTAACTGCTCTGCGATCTTATGCAGTCATTTACAGTCGCTGAATTCGAGCATATCGATATGAGCCATCCGTGTAAAAGTGTACCGCATTTGCAGATCCTGGTTCGTCCATCTCCCAGTCTTCCCTATGTGAATCCCACCTACCTGGATCAAAAGTGATCACTGGGGATACTGGTACAATAAACTGTCCTCTCGTCAGTCTCGTCAGGATTCCCGAGTGCCCTACCGCGGACGCTTTCCACATTTTGGTTCCTCTCATTTTGAGGGCGGAATGTGTTGCCACCTTCTTTTCCATGAGATCTCCGGGAGGAGGTCCAGAACGGTATCCCATGGAGTAGTGCGTAGTCCGCATGTTGGACAAGTTCTTTTGTCTAGGGCTGGCCACCATACCACCACTCCTGATTGGTCGTATGATGGCGGTGCATAGTCTCCGAACTATATACGGAATCATTTCCCATTTTATTCCGAGGTATTTTCTGCATGTATAGAGGGGCACTGTGGCCTTCTTTACTCTATCATTTATGCTCAGTTTCCAATCGAGCTTTCTTTCGAAGATTAGGCCAAGATACTTGGCATTGTTGCTAAGGGCTAGCGATTCTCCACAGAGTTTTGGGGGAGTCAGTAACTTTGTAATTCTTAGCGAAAAGCACAAGTTCCGTTTTAGGGTAGACTCCCAGCCCGCATTTGTCTGCCCATCTTGACATCTTCGTGAGAGTACTTGTCATGCGCCCACACAACGTCCGCGGAAAGAAACCGGAGAATGCTATGACAACTTCGCCATGCGGTGTGCCTCTGCTGACAAATCTGGTGGACGTTGACGCCCCAGTGATGCCTCAACCGTCATGCATCTGATCGATCAGGCCAACCTGATAAGGTCCACCCTTGGCCAGATGGAGCAGCAGAGCAGTGCATGCTGCCTTACAGTGGTGGAGGTTTATCTGCAGGAGCGTCCGTGACATTCCTGAGGCTCACCTCCACCATTGTTGTTTCTAGGTCGCTGTCGGGGGACTCCGGCTCCTCCCCGACAACGATGTGGCTGAGACCCCTGGCTAGCTCGCTCTCCTTGGAACCGTCGTCGTCCAGGATGTCGTCCGACACCATGGACGCCGCATCCGACGCTGGATTGCCTCCTCAAACTAGACCTCCGCTTGCCTGCCCATGCGATCGGACTTGTAGGTGGATATGGTAATCTTCTTGTAGCCATAGTCCACTACACCGTCCGTCTTTACGGGAGCTCTAAGCACTCCTCATTAAGGACGAGGATGATCTGGTTATATTGGTCCTTGGATATCCTCTGCCTTGGACACCTTTCAATCGGCTGTAGGAATGTGGGGGTTGCAGACCTGCAGTAACCTGGGGGTCTTCTCAGACTCTGCAGGCTTAGCCGAGACCCAAGCTCTGGCTATCGGACGGCTGGGGACATCTTCCCATTTCCCGACCTGCAGTTTCGCCCCTGGATAGACCTCTGTGAGGGCAGCCACCGCCTTCATGTAGAGAGCGAGCTTCTTGGCAGGCGATGGCTTTCACCTTGCCTTGATGCCACCCTGCGTCCTCACACTTTGGCGGTGGTCCGCCATTATCCTCCAGTTCTTGTAGGAACCGGTCCTGCAGCTCTGCATGCCACTTGTCCCGAGCGACGCGAACTTCCTCGACCAGTACGCCAAATAGGGTCTTGCCCCTCGCTTTCACTGAGAGTTTTCTTCTCTTCGCCCGAATTAAAATCTCTTAAGGAAAATTATCTCTCTGAATTGAAATTATTGTCTTTTTTCATTCTCACTAAATTAAAGAATCTTAAAAAAAAAGGATTGATTCATTTTGAAAGATTTCACAGGCGCTTAAAGTGAAAAGTGATAAATATGTATCCACATAGCTCGCCACTGTACATCTATATATACATATTTTCATAAATCAGAGTCTTAAATCTATCAGATAAAGGAGGTTTGAGTATTATTTATACCACATTCCAACTTTTTTGCATAGTGTAATTAACAGTTTTTGGGATTTTAATATTATTTATTACAGATAACTTGCGCAATGGTCGCTATCATCAACACCTTCGCGACACTTTTGCACCATTAGTTGTGCGATATGTGGATCTTATGGAATCTTCAATAGCCCAATCGATACATAAAGGATTTGAAAAAGAACGCTGGGAGAGCAAAGGGTAAGTATAACACACATTTCCATATCCCATGCCCATAAGTAAAATATTTAAACCAAGGCGCAATTTCATAAGACTTAATTACACAAAAAAATGTTTTTATTACGAATTTGTATGCTAAAACTATAAATATGCACACGGATGCAGAAGCTTATTACTTATATGATCACAAACAAAAAAAACCTTTGGGATTGGAATTAATTGGTTGAACAGGTAGTCAGATTGAAAAGTCGAATGGTTTTCGCACATAAACTAAAATTGACTGTTATGTTTAAGGGCCGTCTTGCTTTGAATCATTTAAATTTCATCTTTTAAATGGAGAGTTTATGTTCTATTTATTTATTTATTTTTTACTCTATGAATATATAGGATTAACGCTGCTTTGAACCCTGCAGCATTAAACAATGCAGCCCAGGCGCTCAATACAGCGGCCCTCAACCCATCAACGCTACTTAGCGGCAAGAAAGATCAAGTAAATTTTTATGTGCCGAAGCTACCAAGGCAATCAGTTGCAACAGCCGCCGTCGACGATATGAGGTTTTTAAATAAAAAAAACTCCATTTATAAATATACGTAGATTAAAATATTGTCTGCATTTCGTTTTGCGTTTTGTTTTCTGCCAAATTTTATGCATTGCCAACAATTTCTTGCAACTTGCCAGCATAATTCATATGCATCTCACAAGATATAATTATTAAACCGCCAATGTCAATTGCATTGTAGCTGACTAGTAGTTCACAATTATATTCATTATAACCGGATATATATATATATATATATAAAATATACCAATTCTTGTTGCTAGTTTTTAACGAGTTTATTAAATACATATTTTTTTCAAATTTAATTTTTTAAATCCACATATTAGTGCTAAATATTTCCCTGACAAGGGCATGATAACATAAATAAGCATTTTTTTTAATTAACCGTACATACTAACAATGCAACTGACAAATGAAGAATGCATACTAAGTACGGGAATGGTAAAAAGAAAAAAATTCCTATGCACCCAAAGATTGGAATATAAATTCCCATACTGCCATTGAGAATTTCTTTTAATAAGCTCGCAATAATAATATAATTAGCGCAGATTGGGATTTATTTCATTCATTGTGGATAGGAAACATACCCGGTCGCGACTAGAATTTACTGGCTTATATTAGCAATTTATTTTTCAAATAAGTAAGAACACGGCGAAAGATAAACTTTCGAAAAGTTTTCTTTGGCATGTCGTGAGTGAATAAGCAGTACAGTGTCGGGCTAAGCACGCTGCCTTGATGGTCTTGGTCAAAGAAGCTGCACCATCCTGGACTACGCGGAAGGTCGTCTCCGTCAGAAAGCTTTTGATAACTTCATACAGCTGAGGGTTGAGCATAATTTTGATCTTGGCGCGTAGTCCTTTGAGCCCCAATGTCGAAAGCCTGGGAGATATCCAGCCACAGTGTACTGTTCGTTTTGGAAACCGTCATGTAAGTCTCCCACTATCCTGTGCAGTTACTGTTTTGGTGGCTAGGTAAATTGAATAACTTATAATAAGGCCGACTCCCAGATCATTTAAAGTGTTGTGATACCATCGACTAGTGGATAGTGAAATTCCTTTCATCCACTGTAATTAAACATAAATATTTAAAAATTAACTTTACAATGCAATTTGTTGTAAAAATATATAGGGGTCTTTTCGCGAAGGTGCTTATGATTTTTTTGTACTTTTTTTTCATGAGTAACGAAACCGAATTTCCGGTACTCGAAGAGTAAAGGGGTATATTACATTTTTAACACAGAGACGGAAGCTTTTCCGACCTCATAGAGTATATACTTGATCAGTCCATATAGTCATATCCGCCTGGCCGTTCGTCCGTCCCAATAAGCACCTAGATCTCCGAGATTATAAGAGCTAAGGGCATTTCGCCCCTTCAAAAGACGAAAGTCTTGGTATTTCAAATTTTAAAGGTACGAAAAAAACCGAAAACAAAGATTGCCGAATCAGTTGAAAATAATAGTATATCCAGAAGAAAAAAATGAAATTATGGTGGCTACGCAATGCCTTCCACCCGCTTACTCATTTTCTTCCTCTCTCTTTTACAAGCTCTTCCTCATTCAGAGTGATATAACATTTCTGTTGTGGGCGGAAGAATAAAAAAATAGGGATGTAGAAAAGATGTATAGAAAAATTAAAAACAGATAAAATCCAAATCTAATATATAAAAATTTCCTAAACGGTTCGATTTTTATAAAAGTATAAATTTAGGGGCAGACGGACGTGACAAATCGAGAGAGCGATAGAGATGGCGAAAGAAAGGCGAGAAAAGAAGAGTGGTTGCATAGGCTGCTGCCGTGTGTGAGCATGTATAATGAAAATGTGAACAGTGCAAATGATTAACATCATGGACGTTGACATGCAATGACTGCATCTTTCAAGAGGCGATGCAGTTACTGCACCGTCAAGTGGCCCGTGTAAAACCAGCAGAAGGCTGTTACGCGCGGATCCCAGGCAAAACGCAGCCCTCCTCCCGCCCAACCGACCGAGGGGCGCTGCCGCATGACGCGCATTACGTAGCCGAACGCGAACATGCAAGAAAGATAGCTATTAGACTAACATTCGAGGAAAATTAGCACTAAACTTACTAAGAAACTAAGCATGCAATCAAAATACAAATACCACTACAGTTACACATTAATAGAAAGGTGTGTAAGGATTAATAATTTAATAAGAGGAAGAGAATTAGTGTTGGATATAATATGGTAGATGGAATTATAATCCGAGCATAAGACCCTAAACGGTTCATGCAAAGAATAATTCGATCTACAAAATGGAAGGAACAACGGTATAAAATTTCTAGTCAGTCTAATAGGAATCGTGAAGTTTATGCGGCACAACAGATCAGGGCTGTCTATGTCACCCCTGATAGAGTTATGCATAAATACCACACCAAGCATTTTTCTACGGTTAACTAAGGATGGGAGGTTTACTAATAATAGTCTACTAGAGTAAGATGGGAGTCTTACACCCGAATCCCAGTTAAGGCCCCGCAGAGCAAAGAGTAAAAAGTTTTTCTGTACTGATTCTATACGGTCCTGGTGTACTTTGTACTGAGGGCACCATACACAGGAGCCGTATTCTAAGATCGGACGAACAAGTGAGGTATAGAGAGTCTTTGTTATATAGGGGTCGTCAAGTTCCTTTGACCACCTCTTTATACCCAAGCACGCCCATGGCCTTATTTACCGTGGTAGAAATGTGTTCGGAAAACTTTAACTTGGGGTCTAACATAACACCCAGATCATCCACCAGGGTAATTCTCTCAAGAGAACCACCAAATAGGGTGTAGGGAGCCAACAAAGGGCTAGAACGATGAAATGTCATAACTTTGCATTTCGAGGCATTAAGGTGTAACAAGTTTGAACAACACCATGACTGAAAGCTATTGAGATCGGATTGCAAGCGAGAATGAAATGAAATGTCCTTGTACTGGACACAGTTTAACATCATCCGCATACATAAGTACTCGAGAGTATGTTAATACTGAAGGCAAGTCATTAATAAAGAGTGTGAAGAGTAAGGGGCCTAGATGGCTGCCCTGTGGTACTCCCGAAGAAACCTTTACTGGTAAAGAGAGGGAGTTTTTGAAGAGGACTCTTTGAGACCTAGAACAAAGATAGCTAGAAATCCATCTCAGGAGGTTGGGCGGAAACCCTAAAAGGTCAAGTTTATGTGCTAAAAGGGAATGGTTTACAGAGTCGAATGCTTTACTAAAGTCGGTGTAAATAACATCCGCCTGTAAGTTACCTTGAAAGCCTTTAATAATGAAAAGAGGTAAACTCTAACAAGTTCGTGGTGGTTGATCGCCGCCTTATAAATTCATGCTGAGTTTGAGATATAAGTGACTTGCAGAGATGTTGCAAGTGCGGAGTTAAAGCCTTCTCAAACAATTTGGGAATAGCGGATAACTTTGCTATACCTCTATAATTTTTAGCATCAGACTTGCTACCTTTTTTATGGAAAGGAATTATAAACGATTTCTTCCAGATTGGGGGCAAGCAAGAGAAATCAATGGACAGGGTGAATAGTTTAAGCAAAGATCCACACAGAGCTTCGGCGCAGTACCTGAGTACACAACCTGGAACCCCGTCTAGACCCGGTGAAAACACCGGCTTAACTAGTCGAAGATCATGAAGTAGGGAACATTCATTTAACAAGGGACTGAAAATGCCGTTCGACTTCGGTAAATCGTATGGGTACAGTTGACCAGAGTAGCTTTCCTCAGAATAGGTGGTTTGGAAAAACTGGGCAAAAAGATCGGCAATTGCCTGATCATTATTTGCCGACGTATTACAAAATGATAGCGAGGATGGGTGTGCGGACGTTCTACGCTTACTGTTTACGAAGCAGTAAAACTGTTTAGGGTCCTGAGAAAAACGTATCCTGCAACGAGATAGGTAGTTCTTATAGCATTGAGCATAAAGATCTGAAAAGTTTGACCGAGCTATTACATAACGAGAGTGAGAAGTAGGAGAGCCCACTTCTTGAAATTTTTTATAAAGTCTTGATTTTAAGTTTTTTAGACTGGATAACTCTTTGGTAAACCAAGGGGGTTTTCCAGATCTAATCGGACAAGAAAGCGGGACACAAGAATAAAACGAGGGGGAACGTTGTGAGTTGCTGCGGACACCGCAACTCTAAGGTTATACCCGATACTAAGTCAGTATGGCTCTCCTCCGGCAGACGCCGCTAATATTTAACGACACGACAAAGAGTGCGTGCGAGAGAGACAGAAAATCAGTCTGAGCGTGACGTCGGGCGCTGCGTAGCCACTGCAAATTGATTTGTTCCTTTTGGCTAAAAAAAATGGTCTGATCTGATCCAGATTCAGCAATCTAATAGATATGGTCATTATCTATGATTCTGCGTTTTTAGTTTTCCCAAATCTGCAATATTGTGGATGCAACAGATTTTCGTCCTTTGTGGGGGCGGATGGGGGTGGGGCGAAATTCTGAGATATACGTTTTATAGTGACATCTTAAAGGAGTGTGTGCACCAAATTTGGTTACTCTAGCCTTAATAGTCTCTGAGATTTGTGGTTGCCTCAGATTTTCGTCCTTTGCGGGGGCGGAAGGGGGTGTGGCGAAATTTGGACAGGAAACGGTCAAGGTCCGATATCACAGGAGTGTGGATACCAAATTTGGTTGCTCTGGCTTTTATAGGTTCTGAGATCCTTGAACTCATATTTTGCAATTGGCAAAACCGACCATGAAACCTGTGTGTTAGAGTGAGACAGAGCGAGAAAGAGTGAAATTGTTTTCGTGATTCTGGCTGTAATAATTATACGATCAGATTTTTCACTCTAGAAGATATAGTCATCTTCTACGATTCTGCTTTTTTAGTTTTCTCGTATCGTCGAAATTGTGGATGCCACCGATTTTCGCCCTTTGTGGGGGCGGAAGTGGGCGGGGCAAAGTTTTGAAATATTTTTGGAGCAGTGACATATCACAGAAGTCTGGATCCAAAACATCGTTGCTCTAGCTCTTATAGTCTTTGA